ATACACGGACACAAAAAGATAAGAACGGTGCAAGTGACTCAGAGCTCCGTCTGATGTTTCATTCAGCAATTTGGTCCTCGAAGGCCGCTCACGGACGCGGGCACATCCACAACATGGATCTTCTTGCAGAGCGAGGAAACCGTATAGACGTGCTTCATGTTGACCAGACCCTCACACAGGCATAATAAATTGCACGAAACATACTTATCAATTCAAGATAACTTATAAACAAAACCAGAGCAGCAACAACAAAAAACAAGAATGTTATGACGAGCGACAGGATGTTGCTTCTCGGCAGGAGACACCACTGCCCAGGCCACGCCAGCGTGGTACCGGGCCTGTGTGTTGCGGAGCTGATTGACAGGCAGGCGGTGAAGCACCCAGGTGTGGTCCGTAGGAAGTGACTCGCGGAAGAATCTCCAAAACTTCGGGTATTCCGAAGCACAAGCTGTGGAAACCAAGAGAGCTCGGCGTTGAGTTCCGGCACAACGGATCTTGAGGGCAGCACCTGTCCCCTTTTCAAGAAAGCCAACGCCGATCTCGTAAAGACCTCGCAGCGACGAGACGAGTCGTCTCCGACAGTCCAACTTTCCCGGCCTATCGCAAAGAATGATATCTGCGTCTTTCAAGCTCGACTTGGTGCAGCCCCTGTGAAAGAGCAGAGAGTCGAGGCGCTGACTGGCCGGAACAGCCACATGAGCGCGTTTGCCACGTAGAGCTTGCAGCACGGTTGCTGAACTCTGACCTTGACGAATTTTGACAGCCCGGCTTTTTTTCTGTCGGGCAGCCTCGTTCTTGAGCAGTTTCTTGCGGGCCGCGTGAACTTCTTCTTCCATGGTGTCGTCTACTTCATGCGGCAGTAGTGACTTTTCTGCGAAGCCTTGAAGTTTACGAGCCCTTGCCTTGCTGGCAAAAAAGTCTTCTTGCTTGTCATGCTGTTCTGTCCAGACCTCAGACAGGTCTATATTATCATCAGCAGCAACGTCATGCTCACGACCAGCCTGGGTGGCTGCGAGGCGCCTCTTCTTAACGAATTCTTGTTCTGTCAACAAGTCATCCTCAGCCATTTTTTTCGTCGGCCTTCTCAGACCTTTGTCTATACGCGCGTGCAGACGTAGTCTCGCCATTCCGAAGCAGTGTGCCCAAGCCACACTGGCCTGTTCGGCCAGGGTTTCCTTGTTGTGCAGCGGGAGGTCCAGATGAGCCTTGATAGCAGTTTCTTCGGCGAAAGCAGAAGCTTTCTGGCGTCTGCAATGGAATGCCCATGTTGATTTGGAAAACGCTTGCTCCACCCCCGATGTGCTGCAACCAAACGCCAAGTACTGCACCAAAGCTTGCTTCAAGGTTTCTGAGGGGTGGCTCTGCTGAGTAGAGTGGTGCTTGTCAAGGGCTTGAATTGCAGATGTCCAGGCCTCTTTGTGAGCGTTCCTCCATGACTTGCTGCTCTCCTCAGGGGTTTCGTGGCTGTAGTACCAAAGAGCCCGAGGCTGAATATCCTGCCATTGAGCTACGAGCCGATCGCAATCCAGGTCGAAAGCTGCAGCTATCCGCTTCAAGCTCGGGCACGGGTCGCGGGGTTGCACGTGGAGATTGAATACTGCAAACGCCTGCAGGGGCCAAAGCTAGCAAAGTCTAACTGTCAAACATCAACTTTATTACTATTTTGTTATTATTGTAAATTTCAACTTACTGCGGCTAGCTTTTAAGACAGCAGTCCAAGACTGAAGCCCAGCCTGAGCAATTTCATGTGATGGAAACTCAGCACGAATGGCCGACTCAGCCAATTTGACCCAAGCCTGCATACGCCGAAGGCATTTGTCCTGGATGTCTTGCTTGACTCCTGCCTCCGAGCCCAACGCTCTTGTGACCTGGCCAACCTGGAAGACCACCGGTCGGCGAAGAGTTTGAAGCATGGTGGAAGTGTATCCGAAGCTTGTCAGGACTTTTTTGTCATTGAAGAGACCCTTGATGCTCTGGAGGTACAAAGCGATGTTTTCCGACAGGGTGCATGGGTCCATGTGCTCCGAGTCAAGCACCCGCGTGAGCGCTAGGCTGCTATCAGCAGCATCGGCCAACATTGCGGCCTGAAGAGCTTGCTCTTCATTCAGAGACTGAAGCCACATCTTCGCGAAGCCTGCTGACGCATCGGATCGGGTTTGCACCATGTGAAGTGCTGTGCTGATTGCTGCGTGGAGAAACAAGCACGTTCGTCCCAAAGGTCTGGCATGGGACTCGAATCTGTGACCAGCTGCCCGCATGTTGACAACAGCACGACGAATGGCATTGTGGCAAGTTTGGGCAAACTCGGCAAAAACTCGCCGAAGCTCATGGCTGTTCTGAATGAGCCGGGCAATGGACCCTCGCCCAGTTGCGAACAGTTTCAATGTCTGGGTCAAGGCCGAATCAGCCTTCCATGGACTGCTGGTGATCCGCCTGGAGGCATGAGCCTTGTCACGCAAGACAAACTTCAACTGTGGTGTCAGGTGGCACAGCGCAGGAGACACAACAGCTGTGCGCATCAGCTCTGCTGAGACAACTTCATCTGATGCCGAGTCAACAGCAATCGAAGTGACTGTCTGACGGACGTGCTGCAGTAAGTCTTTCTTCACGAAGGACCGCATCTTTGAGGCTGCTGGTGGATTGGCAAAGCGCGAACACGCCCGCTGCATGACTTTCAGTGTAGCAAGCGTGATGTTACGCGCCCCTGTCCCGGCATCCCTTTCTTGTCCGAGAGTTCCCGAGTGAACTTGGAGGTTGGCAGTCACGGCTCGGAAACGGATGGCGATGCGGCCCTGGCGCTCGTCTCTGAACAAAGATATCGATTCTGCACTTCCTAGCATTTTCTGATCCACCGATTTCATGGCCTCAGCCACGCACCATTGCATTTTCTTTTCCTTTCTGGAGCTTGGAGCAATGCCCTTTTCGATATCTTCCATCAAGGACAGAAAAGCCTCCCTGGGAGGTGAGAGCACGCTAGACTTAGGAGTCTCTTTGCTTAGGCCTGCGAGGTGCTTTCGAAGGGCATTTTGGTGACTTGGACTCGAAGCGTGCTTTTGCAGGTTCGAGAATTGCAAGGCACCTGCTGCAACAACTTCGAAGTTAGCTAGTCTTCCAGGCAATCCGGCTTTCTGGCAAACAGTGCAGCCCACACCCCAAGGAGAGTCTTGGCACTGCAGCCAGGATCCCAGTTCAGGTCGGGTCGGGTCTAGCAGCAGCTTTTGTCGCCATGCTTCACCCAATCGTAGCCATTTCTTTTTTGTTTCCTCTGCGCCCTCTGTCATTATCTCGGCCTCTGGCCGAAGCAGCCACCAACTTGGAACTGATCTGTGGCCGAGACAGCCGTGTTTGACGCCTGGCCGAAACAGCAAGCACGTCTGCCGGGCCGGAACAGCCAAGGAAACAAACTTGCAGGCCCATGGCCAACGCAGACGAGGACAGCAAATTAGCAGCAAGCATGTCCTAAATAACTTTTCGGTCTTTCGACGATAGAAACTTCTGGTGGGAACGATTACATGCTTATAGGGCAAGTTATCTACAGTACTTGTTTGAAATGCTTAAGTTGCTGGGTAGATAGCACTTAATCTTCAGAGTTAGTTTAATCTGCAGTTGTGCCATCATGTTTGGGTCCCGGACTGACAAGGATCCATGGCGACGCTCACCTTTAAACAGGAAAACAGGGCCATGTCATTGACAACTACACAATCAAATCAAGTAGCATCGTGTTCCCCTGCGTCTGGAATTCAATTTAAAGTGTGTGTGTGTGTGCGTGTGTGTGTGTGTGTGCTAATTATAATTGTCTGGGTTCCAGAAGATCATCTCCGAAAGGTGTAAACTGATTGCCACGGACGATGTTTTGAGTTTCGGAAAATGAGCTTCGACGAGTAACCCGAATAACGAAAAACATGCTCAAAGTTATTTTTCAAGCAAGTTTTGAGTTTTGTGTGGGAACACCAAAAAAAACTACTAAACTACCGCTAAGCATATGTAAGTCATTAACGTGAATGACGAAGGAGCTGCCCTGGCGGAGCAAACATATCGCATCCTCGTGACGTACAAGTAATACAGCCATATTGTTGATTTGGCCCTGCAACCTGCGCACCTCCGAGCGGAGGGAGCCAAGCTCCGTTGACTGAGCGGGGGCGTCAGTCATTGCTTGGGTGTCAGTCCTGGTAACCGAAGTGTTCTTGTGTCGCCCAGGGCCAGAGCGTGCCGACGCCACCCCGGCCTTTGCCGCCACCCCCAGTCTGAGTGTCTTCACGTGAGCCCGAACGTGGGGCTTTGGCGACACGCCCGCTGGGGGAGCTCTCGACCTCCCTGACATGTTTTGTACGAGAATGTGCCTCGGCCGCCGCCTCCATCATGTGAAGTTCCTCTTCATGGCGTTCATCCATGGCTAAGGCCAAGGCAAGGGCTACTGAAGGGCAGAATCTCGAACATAAAAACAAAGGTATCCCTCGGAGGCACGTGTCAAGGCGTCATCAAAAGAAAGCACCGAGTCCGGAGCGAGGTCATCCTTCAGAATAGCCCGAGGCGGGTCCCAGGAAAAAAGAATGCATCTGTAATGACCTTCGCATGGACTCGCGCCATCATGAAGTACTACCGCCGTGATTCGAAAGGACACTGGATGAGGATGAGCACCTCTTTGAGAAGACACCTCCAGCTGAAGGGAGGGAGTGACGACGATACGAGTAAAATCCTTAACCGTGCGCAGACCCTCTCTACGGAAACGTGAAAGTGCCAAGCATATGATTGGGCCCGTGCCAAACAGTCGCGCCGGAGAAGTAGCGTCGGTCAAGGTGATCGAGGCAACTGCGCCCACCTCAGTGCCTGGGGCAGCACGGTGCAAGTACCACGGCGAAGCTAGAGAGGCCGCTCCTAGGTCCTGAATGTATGAGTGCGACACAAACGACAATGGACTGAGTATGGAGGCAGCGAAGGCAAGAAACTCACCGGCGTCATGCTGCCGGCCGGGCTCGGGCCACCCAACGAGAGAAGAGGAAAGCACCTCAAAAAAAACTGAGCTCCGACGATTCCTCCAACCTCGCATGCCAGCCCGGATGCAATGCAGAGCAGTGTTCGCTCCACGCCAAACCAAAAAGCGCCGAATTTGCGTAACAATGTTGGCTGCCATTGCTGGGGCGAACCCTCCATAGAAACAAGTCTGCAATCGAAGGACCTATGCGCAGACTCTGATTACCATGAGATTCTTGCGGGATGACACCCCCGAAAAAAGACCATAACGTCGTCTTGGCGTGAGTCGGCTTGGTGGCAGAAGTCTTGACCTCGGTCTTTGTGGCACAGGCTGCAGTGGGGAAGTGCTCCGCAATCTCCCCCCCAGAGGAGACACCGACCCGAGACACGTCCAGGTCACAAGCAACCCCGGCCGACACCCGAGTGAAGCTGCGCAGTACAGCCGATTCCTGCCTGGAGTACTGTGGACCCACATGAGCGATGCGATCGCGAACCGGTCTGGTCACATCCAAAGCAACCGTCTTCCCCTGAGCGTCCCTCAGAGCCAGAAGCTGAAACAGAGCGGTGCATCCTGTGGAGTGGCTTTTGCTGTTCTTAGCCTTGCTGCCACAAAATTGACACGTGCTTTGGAAGACCGCCGAAAGACTCCGGCGTGCGGATTCCGCCGAATGCCTAAAACGCCGGAACATATCAGGATGGGCTCCAGCCCAGTGAAGCTTCATCCGAGAACCCTGATAGGCAACTCCACAAATGGTGCAACGTGTTGCAAAAGTGCGAATCTGCTCAGTTTGCCTCAACACGTCAGGGAGAGAGCCTTCAAACAAGGCAGAATGACGCACAATGGCCCATGAGTCCCCCCCGATGTAATCATTCGACGAAGATGGCTCGCCACATGGTGGAGAGACCGAGGCTGCTCCCGTGCCCGTCAAACGATGCGCATTCCCTGTGGCAACCCTCTGTGCAGCCTCGAGCTTAAGTGAGATGCATCTGCCTTCAGTAAAGTGAGAAGACAACTGATCGAGCTTATGGAACCGATGACCACACCGCATGCATTCAGTGGTTCCCGGACGGCAGTGTTTCGACTGAGAAAACTCAGTGCGACTGAGAGTATTGACAATGGGATGACAGCGAGTGAAATGCATATGGAGGCCTTGTGCGGATTTGTGCGATGAGCGACAAATGGGGCAAACAAGCTGCACCTCCGGTGGGTGGGGGGGGGGGGGCAGGCAAGGAGGGAGAAGAAGAAGACACCTCCAAAAGTGAAGGAGGAACTAACAAGCCCAGTCCTGCCCCGGCCCCACAGTGGAGGATGTGATCGCAAGAGCGAGAAAGCTGACCCTCAGCCTCCAAGAGGGCGGATGTGACTGTGGGGAGGCCGAATTTTTTAAAAAGAGCCTGAGTAGTGATGTGCTCCCCGTCCCGTCGAGATCCGTCCATGAACCGTAGCTGACCACTGAGGAGCGACTGAAGAGAAGAGGCATCTGTGGGGCGTACCCGAACCGCAGCCAAACCGTACATAGCCACTGACAAGACACAGGCCCGCCAAAGCTGAAAGCGATGACGAAGCGTGTAAAGCGTGCCTGGTCTGAGCACACGACGCAGTCGTTGGAAAGCAGATTTGGCAAGGTCGATTCTAAGTGCTATCGTGGCACGTGAGGTGGCTCCGTAAGCCAAGACGACGCCTAGATAACGTTTTTGCTCGACCACCTGAATGAATACAAGTCTACCCCGCACTTCTAACAGGTGTCCCCATTGGGAGCCGCGCCAGCGGAAGTTCCTTTCTTTGAATCTTCTATAACCGGACCCAGTGAGCCGAACTATGAACACGGTCTTCTTGTAGCTTATCCTCATCCCCTTGTCCTCTATGAAGGCAAGCAACTTAGAGGCCTGACGTAGAGCACGCCTGACATCCTCGAGGGAGTGAACAGTCCACCCCGAGTGAAGGTCGTCCGCAAAGAGTGTTAAGTGCCGAGCAGACCACCCAGTGTAAAAAAGCTTATCTAACCGGAACATGGTGTAGCAAGTCCATATAGAAAAAAGATAGGGAGCCACAGGGCAACCCTGCCTGAGTCCCCTGCCGAAGGGTACACTCCCCGAGAGGCCCCCGTGGGTCAGCGTCGCTCTGGAGCTGGCGTGAATCGCCAAAATGAGGCCCCTGAGAGAGACCGGGACCGAGGCCCAGGTCAGAGCCTCGTCCAGTTCCTGATACGACAACAAGTCGAATGCCTTCTCAAGATCGACGCAGAGCTGAATGCCCCCCCTTACATCCTGCGAGAGACATACCTTGGACAGAGGATTCTCCGCAGCCCCCATCGCCTGTAGTTCGTGCTGGCGGGCCCGCAGGATGGCATGGAGCGTAGAGCAGCGCCTCCGATATGCAAACTGTGGCCATCCCGCGCATGCGGTTTCATAGGAGGGAGGGAGGGAGGGAGGGAG